ACTGGCTGATGTCTTAATAATTAAAAGGGATATACAAATAACAAACCAAGAGAGTAACCTGCATAATTTTCCTATATTGGATTTACAAAAGAAGTTTGTTAAAGCTTTGAAGAATTTTGTGAAAACTGACAAAGAAAAAATGAAAAGAAATAAAGTTTTAGGACATTATTTGAGGGGACTAAAGATCAAGATTGTTAAAAGTAAAAGGAATATAAAGTTGGTTTATTTGATCAAGGTTAAAATAGTTATGTTGTCATCTCTGGTAACCCTTAATGGACTTTTACTGATCAGGACTGAAATGACGAGGTTTTAAGGATTTGTTTATAGATAAGATATGGAATATGGGAAGAAGAGATCATTTGTTGTATTTTAAGAGAAGGTGATAAATTAATAAAATTGTTTATAGTTGTGATGAAGAGGGAAGTAATTTCTTTATATATTTTAATTTTTCTTTACTATATCCTTATTTTTCTTTTTTCTTTTTTTCCTATTTTTCCTTTTCTGCACTTTCTATTTTTTCTTTTTATTATTTTTTTTAGTTTGTATTAGTTTTTCCCTTTGTAATTGTAATTTTTAATAAAATTACTATTAAAAAAAGTAATCCCCAAAGGCATTGATTTAAATTAATATTATAACCAGAAACAACTCCAAAATCAGCCCCCCTCGCTGTTAGACATTGGTGGAATGTTTTAAAGTGTCTGCCAAGTTCACCATCTTGTTATTTTTTTTCCTTTTCTGGTTTCGGTTTTTGTTGTATGTTGTTTCTTATATTGTTTTTATCTTGTTTAATATATCATGAGCTGCCCAGAGTCACTTGGAATTGGGCAGTATCAAACTGAATAAAAATAAATAAACAATCAGAAAATTGAGTTTCTTACATGAAATTGGAATAATTTCCTTAAAATCAACCCTAACCCTAACCCTAACCCCAATTATCAAAAACCGTAAATAATGAGAGCACTTTGGTTTAGGAAATCATGAAGTGTACCAAAAATATTTAAATTATGGCCATAAAAATTAATTATTTTGAGGTTAATCCTATTAAGATAGATCCCTGCTCTCTGCAAATATCACTTTTCAGAAAGGACCATTTTTTAAAGTCAAGTTCAGATCCTTTCAAC